CAGTCTAACATCAAAAACGATGACATTAAAAGAACAGACTGAGTACAGCTGCAACTTATTAATTACTCCACTGATTTGTTCTCAATTAATCAATCAACTACTTTGTCTTTAAAGCGCCAAAACATAAGGACAAATACTCATCACGAGCATCCAGAAACCGAGGATTCACAAACACTGGCGAAGATGACTTCAAATCAATATGACGATTATTTCAAATTATTTCAATTTCATTTCGCACTCTTCATATTCAGCGATGCGATTGTGATCCAAGTGATTCATCAAATTAGCGGTGTTACCTTTAGTCGCTATCCATGTTGCGTTCACCGCTTTCCGGTAGCCGTGACAAATAAGGCCCAATCAGGAGACGTCATCGTTTCCTTTGGTCTCCATCAGACCGTCCAGACTACACAACAGGACCAGCAGCATTTCCAAAACTCTCCATTTTAGCGGTTAAAAAAAACTGGAGTAGTGTGAACGCCAGGCGTTAAATGTAGCATAAGTGACTCGTTTTAAAACTAAAACGTATTAAAGTGGACATAGCCTGAGGCTCCGTGTTTGCGCTCGTGTCATCCATATCGTCAGCTTCGCTCTGAGAGAGCATAAACTCACATTAGTTGGACGTGGCGGAGGCACGTGAGGTATTAACTTTTTTAAGGGAACAGTTCATCAACGCACACACTAGGGAAAGTATTAATCTAATTAACCGACGTGAGCAAGATTAAGTCGGTGAGAGGTTCTACACGTCTACATTTTCCGTTAATTGCCCAGCCTTAATTTAGCCCTTTGTTTGAGAGGGATGCACATCCAAATTTTATATGACATCTACCTCCTGTTCATTTCAAATTAAAACACAGAAACTGAGAGGTGTCTTTGGTTATTCATAAATTAAATGACGAGAACCATGTTGCCGCTTGATAACACTAAAGCACATACCGTGTTGTTTGACAAAGACTTCGTGCTACATGATAAATTAAATATGATACAATAACAAAGTGCTGAGGAACTATTTTCCCTGTGGGAAGGTCTCTGTACCCAGGGGACATGTTTTGTTGTCACACACAGGTGGGTAGTGACACTGTCTACAGCTCACCTGTTCCAAACATAAACTAAAGCCAAGCCATTGTTACTCAATACGATATACTCATTTACTTTTAAATAGTAAAACATCATGTACTAAAGCACTGCCATGAAACACTGGAGCGAGCTCATATGGTTTGTGGTCCATGTTCTTGTGACTTTATATGTAACTTGATCTTAATTCTCCTAAGACCACAACATATTCTTTTAAGTCTCTCAGGAGAGAAAATGAAATTCTTCTGTATGGGAACTTACCAGACACAAATCTGCAACCTAGCTCGAGCCCAAAAATAACAAATAAATCAGGGCTTGTATTCAGAAGCCCCTGTTTTACAGTCTGGTTTGAGGCCAAGTGATCCTCCATCAAGCTAATGGTAAAGTTTAGTAGAAGTCTTCCTTTCATATTATCAAAGAAGCGTTCTGTCAGCTCCCTGCACAATATCAACACGGATGATCTTTATTACAGTGAGATACTCTCATTTAAGACATCAATTCTGGTGAAAACCAACATGCCAAATGGACTGAAGAGAAGATTAATAGTCTCTCTGTACATTTAACTGGAATAAGTTTTATTTTTGGAAAGAATAACTTTTATGTTTAAATTATAAAATTTTTATTTGTTCACTCTGGACCGGACAGAGTCGTAGATGTTTCTGAGCACATCCTACGAATCCAGTTAAATTTGGCTGAACAAACAGAGGCTGGACTCCATAGACTGGATCCATACTAAACCCGCCTTCTTTTCAGCAAGGTGAGCAAAGAATGTTTGAGGTCCCGTATAGTATAAAGGTAGATTTCCATGTGTTCTTTGATTATAAAGCAGGTCTAGGNGTTCACTCTGGACCGGACAGAGTCGTAGATGTTGCTTAGCACATCCTACGAATCCAGTTAAATTTGGCTGAACAAACAGAGGCTGGACTCCATAGACTGGATCCATACTAAACCCGCCTTCTTTTCAGCAAGGTGAGCAAAGAATGTTTGAGGTCCCGTATAGTATAAAGGTAGATTTCCATGTGTTCTTTGATTATAAAGCAGGTCTAGGTTCTATATTAATACTGTGAAAAGTATCAAAGCACTCAATCAACGGAAAATTGCACACAGCCTGTTTTCAGAAACTGAACCTTAAAACGAGCCGTCAGGACTTCTGGAACTTTGTGATGTCACAACTATACAGTCGCCGCCCACCACAATCAAACCATTTTGTTGTTGTTTTAATTTAATTAGCACCAAAACTAGTAGAAGCTGGAAAATTTTCCAGGGAGAGGGAGATCTGGACTACTTTGCCTGACCTGCTGCCACTGCGACCGGACCTTAGATAAGCGGAAGAAAACGGATGGATTGATGGACACCAAGGCTGTGGTTAAAAAAGTCTTTTGCTTAGGATGGTTCCTAACTGAGTGAAATGACCAAGAAGTATGCATTTACACGCGAGTTTCACCAAGCTACAGGAGAAGGCTAATCGCTTCCACCAGGAGTGCCAACAAGATTTTATTTTGTTTTGTTTTTGAATTTGAATTGGGAGCGGAGCCTGCACCAGAAGCGACCCCCAGTTTGGTTCAGTCAACAGCAGCAACAACCAACTCACACCTTCATTTCTGCTTCTTTTAAAGCTGTCTTCAGTTTTGCATAGATTCCAGCCTCCAAGCACCAATCAGGAAGAGTGAGAAAGAAATCCTTGCGCCTTCTTTGATTCTTACAATACATGTTTGTACTGACTTTAATGGAAGCCACTCCTTCAAGTACATCATGTTTTGTTACTTTAAAACCAGTCTGACTTTAACTTTTCCAGCCTTATTCATCGCCTTCTGTTCCATGTGTTTTGATTTTCCCTAAATTTCACAAGTGCCAGAGTCGGACACATTAGCTTTAAGGGCTTCCACTACTGCTCTGCTTGTTCTTGAAGAGGATGACAAACCCACTCCACAACCGAGCTTACATTAGCATTACTCACTGGGGAAACTGCGCAGGCTGTTTAGTTACCTCAATGTGATGTCAAGTCTCTCTTTGTCTGGGATTTCACAATGCACGATGCAGATTAAGTCAAGACATGTTCAACCTTGAACGTCCGTGGGAACGCCTCGATACGTGCGCCAACACAGGGTGCAAAGCTCGGAGGAGACGGATCAAAAATTCCTTTCATTCCACTGAATGAAAACGGATGAGATAGTGACACCAGTTTAAGGGTCTTTTGACTTTAAATCAATTAGAGACATTTCAGGTAACTACTTAAGGCTTAAAATCTAACATCTTGGAAGCATCACAGGTGTCACCTCGGGGATCTGCAATCAACACACTCACCTTTTCTCACAAGAACGAGGCACAAAGTTTCAACAGGTTTTCCCGTAGGTCGCTAAAACAGATCAGAGATATGACTTAACCTCTACACCAGATACTAATTAAAGCCACCAGAACATCAGTGGCAACAAAGAGCCACTTTCATCTTGTTCCAGAATCCTGAGTCAAGAGCTGAACCTTCACTGTCAGAACATGTGAAACATCGCACAGCTCCGGCAGCCTTGACCGTCTCTGGCCTTACAAGTCTTTCAACATTTCCGCCATGAGGAATACGCTGGAAGCTGGACTTTCTTTCCTCCATCCTGTCCTCCCTCCTGTTTCATCATCTCCCTCTCTTTCATCTTGCTCTCTCCCCAGCTCTCTCTCTCTCTCTCTCTCTCTCTTTCTCTGCCTCCGTCTCTAATGGACCTGATGGCCTCATCAATAATACACTCAAACATTCGTCTGCTTCAGCGGCTTCAGACAACAATGAACAGATTCTTCATGCTGCTGTGTGCGTATGTTTGCGTGTATCATGTGTGTGGCCACCACCCCCCCACCCCACCCCACACTCTTGCCTCTTTTGTACCTCTGCTGTGGGTCACTGGTTCAGCTAACAAGAGCACAACAAAAGGTAACAGGATCCATACTGTCTGTGTTTACGTGTGTGTCTGCCAAAATGAAAGAAGGTGTTAATTTAATTGAGTTAACAATGACATGTAACTTAGGAAAGGCGAAGTAAACGTTCCGCCTTTTTGGCTTGAAAAATGACTTAGACCATCAATCCATTACCAAACTGATGATAAATCAATGAGCTAATTGGTTTGGCCTCACATAATATATTAGAAATTGCTTTACTAGTGTCAAAACAAGTGACAGCAAAACTATAATCATCTAATCTGAGACTAAATTAAATTCAAAAAGAGAAAAATCTTATGTTAATAAGGCAAAATTCTTCATATAAACAGTCAGTTGCGTCAATGTTAAGACATTTACCCCAAATTAAGACTTAATAAGAGGAATTTGAGAACTTGTTTTCATCATTACTTACTTTTAATGTTTGTTTATTTTGTTTGGCAGAAATAGGCCTCCATACTGAACACATTTTACTGCTAGCACTGTTTGACTTTAAACTGAAATCGATCTGAAACAGCTGATTTATTGATCGCAGTTGATTGTTGGAATATAATATCATTGTGTAATTTATTTATCAGGCAGAGGTATAGGTTCAAGCTTGCATGGACATACTGGATTACCAGCCGGTCTGAGGGATTCTCTGATTTGAATTGAAATATTAACTAAAGTGGTTTCGGCATTGTTGTGGCCCTGACTAATGGTCGTCTAGGTAACTAGGTTTAAGACTTTATCTAAGCCCCTGAAATGGTGCATATTCTTATTTTTCTGTCAGTTTATTCTGGCCATACTCAAATGTTATGATTATATTTGAAATCTGTGTAAATAAATTAATATTTTGGGTTTTGAGACAGACAAAAACAATGGACCCTGAGGAATTTTTTTTGTTTGTTTTTTTTAATGGCCATAATGACATTGTTTGTAGCAGCCTTAATAAAGTACTTTTTTTGGTGTGTGTGTGTGTGTGTGTGTGTATGTGTGTGTGTACTTCAGGGTGTCACATCCCTGTCTCTTACCCAGTCCTCGAAGTGCTTGCTGTTGTTGTGCAGGATGTCCTCGAACTGGATGATGCAGTTGGCCACGAAGTCGTCGTAGCCGATGGGCGCGTCGTGGAAGACGGACAGCTCGATCCGGCGGCCGTCGTGGACCTCCGTGGTGAACTCGTCGTTCCACGCGGGGCTGTTGGTCTTCTGCTTGGTGCAGGTCTGGCCCACGCGGGAGTCGTCCACGTTCAGGGCGATGTACGTGTCCAGGAGGAACGTCTGGGTCTTGGGGCCGACGGCGTGACGCAGGGACCAGGCAGTCGGTTTGAGGCTGAGAGCCTCGCAGATCTTGATCTTCAGCTGCCCGTTGAAGACCACCATGGCGGTGAAACGGCCCCCAAACACTTGCTAGTTGAACCGTAACTTGTTTACACTGAAAGCACCTCACCTTTCCCTCCTCGACCACTTTTAAAACAACGAACCTCCTCGTGCTCTAACGGTTTGAATAACGGCTCTGTTCAACCGGTGGTCCTCCAGGCAGATCCTGTATTCCTTCCAGTTGAATATGACGCTAACGGACAAAACGTAAACTGTGCAGCCTTTTATTTTTTCTTAATTTTGTCTTGCCTTGAAACGTTTACACTTGGCGAATACGCTTTAAATTTCCTTTAAAAAAAATTTAAAAAATAAAGCAGTCCGTTAACCCGGGGGCAGCCTTCTTTAGAAGTGAACGGAAGAAATATGAACAGCTACCAACAGTTAGCAAAAAACACATGAGCAAAGGCCCCAGATGTGAGTCGGTGTGTCATGCTTTTATTTATTTATTTATTTATTTATTTATTTACCTTCGAGGGTTTAATAAAGTCCGTTAGCTGTAGCGGGGCACCGTGGAAACAGTAGCCCGTGTTGCATTGCACCGTGTGGCGGTGGGGTGGGAGGCTCCAGATGCCTGCTGGAAGCCGCCGCGGCGCAACGGGGATGTGCGAACCGGACCGCTGCGACCAGACAGCGGCTGGGAACAACCGCAGCAGGAGCCGGAGAGGAGGGGGCAGAGTCAGGCGGTAGGTAGGTAGGTGAATAGGGGGTCCCTGCTCCTCGTCGTTGCACGGCCTGGGTTCATCCACTGACGGCTGTTGAGCTTAACTTCCCGTGGACATACCTCTGGCTGCCTCCGCCGACACTGCTCTCTCTGCCTCCGTCTCTCTCGGTGCAGGAAATGCGAAAAACACGTCAGATTTCTCGGAGCCTGGTGTGACAGACTGGGGAGTGCGACGCAGCCCAGACTAGGGAGGTGTTTAGGAGCAGCAGGGCTGGAGAGAGGAGAGGGGGCACGGCCGTGTGGGTGAATATACGAGTGGTGGGTGTGGATGGTGGTGGTGGTGGTGGTGGTGGAGGTGGGGGGGAGTGGATAAAATAAAAAAAAGCTTTACATTCCGCCAAGGTGCCCTTGAGCAAGGCTCTATGTAAACACCCAGGTGGGGTTGAAAATAAGCATGGTTGCACACTGCTGCTGCTGCTGCTGCTGCAGTTGTGCACGTCAAACTGTTGAAAATGCAGCGAAACAGGTGTTCAGAAAAATAAAGGCTGAAAAAAACAACTGAAATGTGGATGGGAGCCAGTAAGACGTCCCCCCATAACCCCCCCCTCCCCCCCACGTCCCTCCTCCCTTTGCTGAAAGTCCAGGTGCAGAAATATGAACATTCATCCACTCAATAAAGGCCAATTGCCAACTCCATAAAAGATGATGCCTTAGGGGGTGAATGTAGGGATATGTGAGGCATGTGTGGAATTTCAAAGAGATGATTGCATGCCATATTACTTAGCCTATTAGCCACATGACCAAGCTGTGTGCTGCACTGTGCAGTTTACTATAGCAAAGAAAAAAAAACAACATTTAAATTATGCAGAAATATCTCATTTTGTGGGTCGTTTTCTGATATGGCAGAATTATTAGATTTACAATAACTTTACTAAACAGTTAACATTGAAATCACTGTGGAAGGGAACACTTGGGAAGCATAAGCATCATTTAGAGCTGGAGTTTGGTCTGCTTACAATCAAAATTCAATTGTTTTCCCTCTTCGGGCTGTGGAGTTCTCTTTCCCACTGCTGTGTGTGTGAGTAATACCCTGCACCTGTGAGATTGTGTTGCAATATGGGAATTTTAGCAGGAATTTCATAAATGAAAAATAATGTCCTGAGTCTTCACGGCCTAAATTGAAAGTGCTGCATGCAGACTATACCTTCCCTGAGCTATGTCACTGTAAAATCATTGTTTGATTGTGTCGAATACCCACCGGAGTGAAATAAGATTGATGTCTGTATCAAGGAGGCCGGACGTACTGTAGCATGTGAGCTGGCGGATATCAGAGGAATTTAATTTTCTGCATGTTCTGCACAAACGCCTGGATTACATACATGAGACTGCGTGTGTGTTTCATCAATGGCACAAGTGGAAAAATGTGATTTACTGAATGTCTGGTCTGACTCGAAATGATATTAGATGAAGAATCAGACATCTTGTGTACCATGTGTGCAGAAATGTGTCTTAGTGGCATTAAATCATTAGCGCAGGAACATACTGTAGCTGGCAGATGCAGCACAAGGCCGACGGCAATTCACATTTTACACAAAGGAGCAGCACATTTATCTGCACAGATAGCGTTTAGTCATTATCTGTGTTCAAGCGGTGTGCAACACAGGAAGGATAACAGACTGGTGATTCAACAGCACATCATGATGAATGAACATGGGCCTTTAACAAACATTTTGTAAAATGTGCCAGGTTTTTAATGCCTAAAGCAAAACAGAGAAGAAAGTGTTCTCTGTATACAAGCGCTTATATTAACTGACACTTATTAGGCAAGTGTCAGTTAATATAAATTACCATCTATGTCTCTGTCTCCTGATTTTGCTTTAAAACTTGGCTGTATGATTACAAAATGTACCAGATCTGGATTTCTATAAACCGCCCGGTCCTGTTGTTAGCACGCAGGGACTGACTTTACGTTGAAAACTTTAAATTTAAAGTGTGAGGAAATCTCTAAACACCAGCTAAGGAGTCATAAATATCTGCGATGTATAACAATCTGATATCAGGAAGTCTATTTTAGACGTATACAAATTAGAAAACGAAAAACAAAAGTGAAGAGAGCAGTAATATACCGTGGATGCTGTTGTCACTTCACAGCTTCCAGTAGCTACTGTACAACTGAGCACATAAAAAATAAAAAAAACACACTGAACACATCTGCCCTCTCCTGGTCGAAATGTAAAACTACAAAGTAAAACAATTAATACCCACTGCATGACACAGGGCAGTAAAACAGGCATTGTTGAAACTTCCAGTGACATTAAAAATCCTACACACACAATGCTGCAGTAAAAACATCATCACAAGAACAAAGAATGTCAAACAATGTATTTTTGTCCCATCAGGATTCAGGCCAATAACCTTTCAGATACCAAACCTGCTTCTTCTTTAACCACCTGAGCTATTAGAGTTTTCTAAAAATGTGAGTACATCCTCTCATCCTCTCTCCAGATCTCCACATCATCACTCTCTATAATCTACGCATTTTATGCTTTTATGACGCCAGGACTTTTTGTAAAGTTACTTTTCATCTACAGACTGGTTAATTTTCTGCAGATTCCTCCTTCAGCCTGATCCTTCTCGTGCACATCAGTGTTGGAAACAGTCTATTAATGGCCAAATGACAAAGAGCTGCCTGTGCAGGCTGCCGGCATTTGCTGCCATCTAGTGTAACCTGGGTGGAAGTTCAGTCTCTAGTTGACAGTCTTAAACAGCATGTTTTTGCCTCCAGATGCAGAAAAAGTGAACGTAAATCTTCATTTTCTTTATTACAAAGGGTGCAATATGGAAGTAATATTCTTCCTCCATAATCTGAAAGCAACAGTATCCTCCTGTCCCTCATTTTTCCTACTTGTTTTCTCATTAAGCAGATCAGCCGATGTGTCTCTGAGCTCTGCAGATAGGAATCAATCACAGGCCGAGGAAATCCCCTGGACACCGGCCACGTCCTGCCCTCTCTCCCCCTCTCACTCAGCTTGCCTTAAATCAAATGAACATGGCTTGGCAGCGGCGGATGGGATCGTTCTGTAGTTGTCATCACAACTGTAACTATGGTCACACCAGGACAGTAACATCCCCAGTCTCTGCAGGAAAATAACGATTCTGAAGCATGAAAGGAACATTTTTCCGCGATAAGTGGCTGCAGGAATGAAAGGAAAATTCTTTTTTGTGAATCAAAGAGGAAGCAGAGACAAGAGTTTATTGTTCCCAGATAGCTATGAGGACAGTTACCTGTTTTTACTTTTACTGATAAAACAGAAAGACAATCCTTCTTAATGTTCTTTTTTTTTAAAAATTACATTTTTGACGATTGATAATTGGAACTGTTTTCATCGGGTTTAGGTCCCAGTTTTTCAAATTTGGTCAAAATCTTTGATTTCCAACTGGTAAAGCAAACCAGTGTCTATAAGTGACCTACCATATTCACGTGCACGTGTGACACATTTTTTCTTGTTATATTTGAATCATTTTGATGCAGAAAATTATTAGAATGTCTGAAAGGATTAACACAATTTTGTCCAGTAGTTTTTTAATTAGTTTTTTCTTCTTATATATACATCCTGTTAATCCAGACTCCACTTGTGATTCTTTATGGGGGCCCAAAGCTAAAATCTCCCCTGAAGCAGCGTGTGTAGCCTATTTTTCTGTTTATAGTGTTCTAACATACAGTATATCTTTTCCTGTGTGAATATTGTAACTAATAACTAATAAAATTATTATTTATATTAAGTTTTTTTTTCAAGTCAAGTCAATGATATTTTGTGACATAAAAAGTTTGCACATTTGACATTTTCTCCTAAAGGTATAAAATCACATATCCTCATAATCGTGAGCAAAATCCATTCACTGATGAAGACCAAGTGATGTGGCTGAAAGCTCAGAAAAATAATCCACCAAGTGACCTTATGCTAAGATTAAAAACTACTGTTTCCGAGGTCAAAAATGAATCTTCACATTCAAAAAGTAATTTTTTCTTACCTGTATATTTCTGTGTCAGTTGCAGTAGCAGCTATTAAACAGCAGGGGCCACCAAACATCAATCAAATATTATAATCTTTTTATAATCGTTTCCCAAGGCCGTTTAATTCTCCTCTCTCTCTCTGACATCCACTGACTCTGTCCATGCTGTCAGTCTGCATCGGTGTGTGTTTTAGTGTGTGTGTGTTTTAGTGTGTGTGTCTCTCTGCTTGTCTAGAAAAATGGCCATGATGACAGAATATGCAGAAATTAACACGCGTGTTTTATGGCACATCTGCTCTATTAAACACCACGCAGCTGGCGGTGAAAGATGTGAACGTTGTGCACAAAGAGAAAGACGATGAGCAGCAAAACCAATGACATTGCAAGTACCTGCTCTGCATCCTGCATATCCTCATAATCCTCATTCATCCACATCCCTCCGGTGCAGTTAGTTATTCCGCAGTTTAATTATAAACAAACTG